ATTATAACCTAGAGATATACAGTGACAATGATTTCCCACGTATAAAATCTTAAATTACTTACCACATGAGATGTAGTATCCCTGTTGTCTAAGTAATCGAAATCGAAGTGCAATGGTACAAAGGTCACTATCTTGTTTATCATAGTTTTCATGGCAAGTATCATATATGTGTTTTAGAGATTTCTCAATTTCAGTTTCGAAATGGTAACCGACGCCAAGACGTTGAATTGCATCAATGAGGTCTAATTTATGCAGCGAATCATCTGGCATGGCTTCTAGTAGACTTTTTACTTCTTCTTTTAGTCTTTGACGTTCTTGCTCCTCTTGCCCATATATCTCCTGCGTAAGAAGTAAAATAGATACATGATATTAATCGATTCTTTAAATTAGATTGATAAAATGTTTAAATAAATTAAAATCATATTTTTAGTAGATTTTGATAAAAGTTGACGAAAAGAATAGTACTAAAAAGGGAGGAATAAGAACAATATGTACATTAGAAGTATATGCAAGGAAATAGTCTCCCCAAACACTAGGATGGTACGAGACGGAGCGACGAGTTTGTTCATTGCCAAAATTTTTTGTGGTAATTGGAGCAGCCGATGCAGGGATTTGAATATCCATATTTCTATATTACACTTTTAGAACTTAGATAGGAAATATAGGGTTCTTTTGATGGGTATTTATAGTTCTATATCACGTAAGGCGAAAACTGATATTTTGCAATTTTTAATTTGAAAGGTCACCAACTTTTATCATTAATGAAAAAGTCCAAATCCACTGTCCTGTGTACCTTCCTCATATTTTATAAATTGCAAGGGTATATTGGACATTTATTCAGTTATAATAATAAATTCAAATAAATAAATTTGTAAATGAATTCTATTTGCTTCCTATTATCCAAGAAGATAAAGTCAAATGAAACTTCAGATATTATATTTAAACCTTAGTCGTACAAAGTATAGGCCACGAAATATTTATCACTATAATGTTATTGAATATAAAGTGAAGTATCACCACACAATATTTATCACTATAACCCCCCCCCCCCC